CAACAGAACGTGTTTTTTCTAGTATCAATAAAATATGGACAACTGAAAAAACGCAGTTGAACATTAAAACTTTAAAAATCTATTTTAAGTGTAAAATATAATTTGAGCAAGTCATGTGAAATATTTCACGACATTTTAATAAATGATCCGAATCTATTGCTAAGTATTCACTCAGATCAAAAATATGACCGTGAAAGAAAATCATAATTTTTTTTAAATAAAAAATTTATTTTGATTAAAAATCATGATGTTCAAATTATTATTTTTTACAAATATTTTTATAGTTACCAATAATTAATAATAAATACATTTTTGTACATGTATATGAATGTATACAATAAAATATATATAACTAAATTGTAATTCTCATTTTATCCCATTTGTCCCGCTTTGTCTCAATGAAAATGTGGTCACTTTCTTGCCGCGAGTGCAAACAATAATATTTACCCTATTTTTCTATTGAAATATTATATCACTTTTTTTAAGTTACATCAGTTTGTCTGAAATAAATAAAAAAGTATACTTTCTTTTATTCGTAGTCTATTTGTCGATTGATTAGTATAAGATTAATACTAATATTGGTTATTTACGGTTAAAATAATTTTACGGCAAAAATAATTTTGTTTAAAAAATAAACTTTTAAGCGTAATTTTTTTAAATGTGGTTTTTATTTAAATTTATATTAAATAACGGTTTTGCCTACTTTGTCAATAGATTTAAATTAAGATAGTTTTTTTTTAAAAAAAAGCTACACAAAAAATCGTAAGTTATGTGTGATTTAAAATAATGGCATGTTTGATTTTTGTACTTTGTATGCGTTGGTTAAGGTTTAATAAAAGGAATCAAATATTAAAACACGTCACGGATTTTATCAAAATAGTCGTATTGTCTAACACATTTTCTTATCAATTCTAAACCAGTGAGTCACTTCTAGCTATTTAAAGCCTGAATACACAAAACAACAAACGATAAAATAAGTGTATAAAAAGTTTTCCTCTCGTTAAAAAAGAAACAATCCTATTCTAAGGTAATAAAGCAGTGGTAAACGTCGGTATTCTCCTATATATTTGACTACTTTAATTTTGCTGGGAAATATGGAATCAAAGTCCATCTTAAAAGTAAGTATTAGTTATTTCATTAACTCATTATTTGATCTTTTTAGGTTGATAAAAATAATTGCTTGTAGTTCGAGATTAAATTTCAAGAGAACTTTTATATATTTTAAAGACCTCAATTTATTCTCTAAATAAGCTCCAAGCGGTGAAACTACTGTAGTCGCTACTTTTATCCGTAGTTTGTTGTGTAGTATAAAATATATATATAAACAGTAGTTGGTAGCGATTTCTGGCAACTATTTTTAGAAAAGAAACACAATTCTATGGTAAATCATTTTTCGAATTTCATGGGTAGAAATCTTCGCGGGTCCATCAATGGATGCAATGAAAATAAACCCTATGACTGCAGCTGAGCGTTAACAGAAATTAAGTATTTAAAAATCACGTATTACTAATATTTAAACTAGCCTCTGTGATAATTAATCACACTTACACACGCGAATGCACACTCATGAAACACCGATGTTATTTCGAAGGAGAGGAACGTATTTTCAATGTAAGAGCATTAAACAATTAAAAAATGTCAAGTATTTGATAAAATATACTATTTTCACTGTTGAGAAAGTCATAAAAAGTGGAAGGTTAAATGAAGAAAAAAAATTGAGAATAACTAACTGACTCGTGTACACATGAATAAATATTTTGTAATTATTATTCCCTTACAATTAATGCAAGTTCATCTCCTTAAAGTAATGAAATAGTTACTACAATTCCAAATTAGTTTGTAGTCACTACATTTTTAAAAAAAATAGTGCGTGGAGTCCCTCCGCGCGGAAGAAATTAAACTTCGCAACCTGAGACCTTAATTGTAGAAGAATCAGCAGTCGTAGAAGGATCACTAGTTCTATTCAACGACTCTTTTTCCTGCTCCGCTCGCTTCCGTGCTCTGTAATCACGGTAATATTGTGCATTTTTCCCTCGTGGACAACTTCAACCAGTGCTTGTAGTTGCCTCATCGTCTCGCCCTGGAAAATGTATATGTATTAATAATGTATGTGAATGCGTCATAATGTAATTTCAGAAGAGAAAACCTAACAATCAATTGATATTCACAAGAGACGTACCTTGACATAACCTTAGATCCGTCGCATTGTCCGTGGGATTGTTTTTACAATTGTTATCCACTAAATTTGAAAATAAAAAATACTACCCTATTAAATTATATGTGTATCAAAACAAACTAAAAAAATATTTATAGAAAAACAATACTTTTATGACTTTTGTTATTTTTATGCTAGTGAGAACCAAAACAATATGATAACCATGTTGGTTGTGGTGTTGTTTACGAAAGTTCTAATATTTCTGAAAAATTTCTTCACGAAACTTCAATTCTCACTGCAGAATGCTATGCTATTTTGCTAGCACTTAATTTTACTTCAAACCTAACAAAAAGTAAATGGATAATTTATACTGATACTCGTAGCTTTATGTCTAGTGTTCCTTACGTCGGGAAAAATCCCATAATTCAAAAAATACGAAGCCACTTTATGAAAATGCAAATCCGAGGGTTCAGCATATATTTTTGTTGGATACCGTCACATGTCGGCATTCTTGGAAATGACCGTGCTGATATCATAGCTAAAACTACTCATAACTTAAACAGTAATCTCTTGACTTGCTTAGACCTTAAACACATTTGTAAATCTTCAGTTCATCAGGCCTGGAAAAATCATTGGAGTACGCAAAATAATAATAAATTATATGAAATTTACCCAAATCTTGATAATTGTAAGACATTAACTGTTGATCGCAAAACCCAGACTATTATAAATAGACTACGTATCGGTCATACTCGTTTCACGCATATGCATTTACTGAAAGCCGAGCCTGCATCCAGCTGTACTCTATGTCAAGTTAACATTTCAATTAAACACATATTGCAGACGATTCAAATATTTGAGGAAGAAACTTTTTGGCAGATTTTATCCCGATCTCTCATCCCTACTTAGTGACCCTATACATCACAATCTCATCAAAATAATAAAACTGTATTCATTGATATAAGTAAAAGTGCAATTTTTTTTACCTAGTGACTGGCGCAGTATAGCCACTTCTGGCTCTTGTGCCATTAAACTTCAACCAACCAACCAAAACAATATGGAAATGAATGGAGGGAAAACTGGATCCTACCACGTGATTTCCCGGCCAATAAAAATGTAGCGTAAAACGTTTAACGCAACCTTGTTGGAAGTCGCATAAGAAGTATAACTTCAAAAAAAGTAGCTGTAGTAAGCTACAAAAATAATGTAGTTTTTCCGATCACTGACTCCAAGTATAGGACAATATTAGGAAATTTTGAATCTGGAAAATGGCCAGTTCTTTCATTTTTAACACTTTTTCAAAAATTGAACATTTTAAACGATTTAAAAATAAGCAAAAACTATTAAAGCTTTCATTATGGCAATCCGCTCCGCTGAAGTGACGCGGTACGGTACTGTGCGCCAAAAAAAAGAAAGAAACGAACCACTCTAACTTTTGATCGAATCATCGGATCTTCACCTTCTAGGACTCAGGGGTAACTTCAAATATGCTAATTAGATAGAGCAGACGATATTCAGATATAAAAACGTACTTTCTCCTGAATAACTTTTTCCGGCGGATTTCTAAACCCGTAAATGTAGGGGCTATTTGGGAAATCTGGTCCCCCATACTTTGGTCAGAAGAGTGGTCTAAAGTTTAAATTCATTTTACTTTTTCCGTATTTCGCCATATCTCGAGAACTTTTCAAGCGAATTGAAAAAAGTTCGCACACAATCATAAATTTCATGCAAAAAATAACTTTTAATCAACATTTATCATTTTATAACTGTTTTATTTGATAAAAGTCCAATAATGTTTTAATTGTAAGGTAATCTTTTTACATCATTTCAAAAACATTAATATTACATGACAAAATACGGAATTTCGGTAAAATCTGTCAAATAGTTTGAGAAATCGATATGCTACTGCTGATGAAATATGCTACTTTTTTGAGTTATTAAAGGTGTTCCATTTTTTATTTATCTTTTTTCTCATTGTACACTACGCTGCACAGTTTGCACATTACATGTCGAAAAGCTGGTGTTCGATTTTTATTGTTTAAATGTTACATAAAAATGTATTTGGAGATGTTGCAATTTAATTTTGCAGATGCAATTTAGGATAATTCAAAGAATTGTTAGTAATTTATTTCAGTGTTGTTGTTTCTGAGGCCGCTTTCCAATAGATTGCGTTTCTTGCTTTTCAGTGGCACCATCTGTGGCCGAGAATAGGACTTCAGCCACTCACCTCATTACTTGTTTATAGGGTGGACCCTTTCATCCGCAGATCGTAATCTCCAATTCAGTACCCCCAGAGGTTTAATTTGTTATGATAACATGGAGAATTTTGTGATCCGACAGATATAACGTACACGAATCACTATTTACACCACGAAGAGTCTTCGGTCGGGGATCGAACCCCCCACGACCTCTTGGACATGAGACTAATGCCCTACCAACCGGGCTATCTCGGCCTAAATCAGTGTGATACACTACAAAACATATCGCTCATGAGCTGCAATAGTGGTACAACTCAAAAAACACGCGTTTTGGACTAAGAACAAGTGTAAATATGAAAATACACATTCTTTTCAACAGCAATACTAGCAAAACTCATATTTCAACTTGAAGGTAATCTTCGTTTAAGCAAATTAAAGCATTTCTTATGCATTTTCCTTAGCAATGAAAACTTAATAACGTAACCATTGCGTTCATTTCTAAAACGCAGAAAAATAATAAAGAACAAGCGTGAAGTGAAGTATATTTCAGAATATAATAAAATATTCATAATAATTCCATGTTTATTAAAAAAAATAGTAAAATGCAAATGGGGTGCATTTTTGTCGAAAAAATTAACAATCTTGTGGTTGTTAGACATTTTTTAATCCCCCCAAATTGTTATATTTAGTTGTACCGTGACTTAAGGATATTTTAAAAATATTTTTTATTAAAATTTAAACCATTTAAAAATTAAACTTCTATTTTTTTTTAATTCTAAAAATTTATTTTGAAAGAGTCTTAGTTTAAAAAAAAATTAAGTTAAATATATTTTTTTGATTAAATAAAAAAGATAGTTAGTGTTTTGATCATTTTATTTAATTGAATGGAATGTCAATGTAAATTTTATTTCTTAAAAAGTAAAGAGCGGAGTTTTCCAATCTAGCTATTTTGCTTTTAGAGCTATCACGCCGACGATTAAATTTTTTAAAATTCTTTTCATATCCTCACTCTTTGAAGTATCAGTCATGTTTATAAAATCGAAAATGAATGTTCAACAACGAAGTCATGACCGATGTCGGAAACGAAAGTGATCAAAATTATTATTTTCGAATTATATTAGGTTTGAACTCCGGCTCGACTGACCATGTTGAGGGGGTCGATAAGCGGACTCTATAAACGGAGATTTAAGAATTAACAAACGATAACTATTTAACAATGTTTATTAATAAAACGATGAATGACGCCATTCTACAACATGTCCGACTACAACACAACAAAAAGAAGAAGTGAGCTCTTCTTTTCTTTAGCCAAAGCCGTGAGTGGCGCCAACAGTATCATTCTACTCAATTTTTATTTCAATCCGCGGAATTATTAAAAATTATTTACTTTCATTAGGTAGCTGTCATTGGAGCTGGAGGTGCTGGTCTATGTTGTGGCAGACATTTGCTGTCGGAGCCTGACAGATTTGTTTTTGAAATTTTTGAGCAACAAGAGGATGTCGGGGGTACCTGGAAATATTCTGAAAGAGTGGGTCTAGATGAGTTCGGCTTACCTGTTTTCTCTAGCATGTACAAAAACTTAAAGTAAGTGGAGAAAATTTTATTACTAAAATTCTTACTTGATTAAAAAAAAATCACTGACTAGAAATAATAGTCGGTTTAAAAATAGATGTCCATTCTCAAGATATGCGAAACGTGAATGAGAAAAAACAAAAGAAATTTAAAATATAAAATGTTAAGTTGCCAACAAGAAATGAAAAAAAAGTAAAGGTAAAACACAAAATCTAGAAAAACCCCGATAGCCGAGATTGAAACAGAAAGGAAAAAACAAGAATACCGCTGGAGCCAAATCAAGATAAAAATGAATTTCCACGCGCTATGGGAAGGTCGTGAGGAACTTAAATCGTTTACAAGGGAATCGGCTCTTATTTGAATGAAACAAGATTCAAAGGAATCAAGATGAGCTGATGCAACTTAAGTGGTAATATTTTTGGCATTTGAGCTCTTCAATTCAACCTTATTTAGCTCTCGTATACTACCTTCATTTTTACCAACTTCGTTAATATGCTTTTTTCATCTTTGAACTTTTTTCAAAAGTTTCTATAAATTTTACGAGTTGGAAAAAAGGAAGACTGCGGAGTTGAACGTAGATATTCGGAAACTCAGAATTAGATCGGTGGTTCAACGCCAGTTATATTATAAAAAATATAACGGGCATTGCGTGTAGATTATATTAGAATGTTTTAATTTTACCACGGATGAGATTTTCCCGGACATCGTCTCTCCTTGACCTTTTTGGACTTGATATAATTGAAATGCACACTTTAAAATATTAGAACAACAGATTCTGATATAAGGCACCATTTCAAAATGCTTTTAATAGTGATATTCTTGATATGTTCTCAGAAAAACAATTACAAATGGCTCTGCAGTGGTTTTAAAGTTCAATTCATGTATTCAGATTATATAGTGACATACCCAGAGTTTGTATTTATTTTTTATTATTGTTTTTAGAGCTAATTTACCAAAAGAAACCATGGCATTCCCAGATTTTCCATTTCCACACTGTAATGGTCAATCTTTTGTTCATCATACAGAAGTATTGCAGTATTTAAAGGATTACTGCAAGTATTATGATCTTTACAAACATATTAAGGTAAAGTAGTGTATTTAAAAATGTATTTTTTCGCTATCAGTTTGATAGATCGTAAAAATTGGTTAAACGAACAGATTTTTTTTAAATATAAATTTTTTTTTAAATATGCACTAAATATTCACTACTTATAAAATATACTTTTCTATTTAAATAAAATTAACTCTAAAATCTTTTTTTCTACCAGCGTCAGATATTTATAACGGGAAAAACTATCGACTTTGCATACGTTACATTTTTTGTACAATCGTACATTTCACAAATAGGAAAAAAGCATTTTGTTACAGAAATAGTGTCGTACGCTACTGACATGCATAAACACTAAATTGATTTTCCAAAAATCTTTCACACAGCAATATAACTTCTCCATTGCTGCTATTTGATAATGATATCATCGATTAAACTGCCCTATTTAAACTTTGTATTCTTATTTACAAACATCTAGATACTATTTTTTTAGTAAAAAAAAATTTCGTTATACATTGGCGCAATAATTTATGTTACTTCCTTTGCCCTATAAAATTTTTACAGTCATTAAATTGAATCTTAATTGTTGTTAAAGCTCGAAGTTTAGATCTGTGTTATGTTATATCTGTGTGTGCTGTATATCGGACTACAAGTATCTTACAAACCAATGTAAAAAATATATACAACCAAAATGATACTTCTTATCCAACGGATAACCAATATTTTTTAAGCAAACGACACATTTTACGTATTGCGAAGTTTAAGCAATACGTTTTATGCAAACATATTGCATTTGCAATAGGCCTTGACCGCTCAGATAATGCGTTCACCTCATTGTAATTTTCTAAAAGATTTTTTTTTACTTCGTATCATCATTAGGCTTAGTGATTTAATAGCTATTAATAAGATTGAAAGAGCTGTACACGCTTAACACTAGATTGCCTAAGGAAGTCATTTTGACTGCTTTTCAATTTCAATTAGAAAAACAATGATGTATATAATGACACATCTTCTTAGAATTTTGTGACTTTTTGTACAACATATAAATGCGTTTATTAATCATTGTAGTTGCCTCCCCCTCCTTCATTTCCGGTTAAAAATATATGTGTTATGCCTGTATTGCTCAAAAGCAGACTTTTTGACTACTTGGGAAATTTTTTTTTTCATTACTGTCACATGATAGCATACAAGTTCGTTATAAATTGTCGATTTGGGCATATACTTGATAAGTTGGGCCGGGATAGCCTGGTTGGTAGGGCACTGGGATCAGGTCCAGGGGGTCGTGGGCTCGATGCTCGTCGGCCGAAGACTCCTGGTGTAAATGGTGACTGATGCACGTTAAATCTGTCGTGTCTCAAAGTCCTCCGTTTTCCCATGAGAAATCATACCTCTGGGAGTGCTGATCCAGGAGTTTCCTTGTTTTTCAGGATTGGTTAAAAATTACAAGGCTACGGAGTTGAACATTAGTTGTCGTAAACCCAAAATTGGGTCGGCTGTTCAACGACGGTTATAAAATAAAATAACTAAAGTAGTACTTGTTATTAAAATTTGACGAAGGTGGTATTCCTGGAAGGTTACCATCTACTTGTGTTTTCAAGGGTGTGAAGGGACCAACAGGCTACGCAAAAAGGAACATTATGGCAGATAATCTTGTCAGTGCATTCTAGTTGATAATAGATAACTATATAATCGAACATACAAAAAACTACAGAAGAAGATGGCCGCCGAATTTTGTGGTACGATTGGACAACAACATAACCGGAAATACGTGCATTTATTGGATTTTATATGCTCGGGGAGCCTACGAGGCAAAAAATTTAAAACTGAGTTATTTATGGTTAGCAAAGTGGGGTCCCGAATTTTTTAGAAGAACTATGCCCAGAGATAAGTTTAAGCAAATCCTACGATTTATTCGTTTTGACAAAAGAACCGAAAGAAGTAGACACCTCCAAACAAATAAATTTGCCTTGGTTTCGGAAATATGGGACAAGTTCATTGAAAATAGTCAAGCTTGCTATCAACCAGGCCACATTGCAACAGTTGACGAGCAATTATTTCCGACAAAAGCCAGGTACAAGTTTATACAGTATATGCCTAATAAACCCAACAAATTTGGCATGAAATTCTGGCTTGCCTCAGATGTTAGTAGCAAGTACGTTTTGAATGGTTTTCCTTACTTGGGGAAAGATGAACAACGACCACCGTCAATGCTTCTCAGTGAACACGTTATTCTGAAACTTGTCGAGCCATAAGCAAGCTGTGGAAGGGAAGCTATCATGTTACTCGCGACGACATTATCCAAAAAACATCGACATTGGCCAAAAAAACAACACTAGTTGGAACTATTAGAGGAAATAAAAGAGAACTACCCAAAGCAGCCAAACAAACGAAGGATAACATACCTCGTTTTTCCACTCTCTATATAAATCTCAAAATTGTGTCCTTACAATATATAAAAGCAAACCGAATAAAAGAGTAGATGTTCTAACTCTATTCAATTTTATAATAAAACAAAATTTGGAGTTGATATGGCGGATCAAAAGGCCAGAAAATATACAGTAAAATCTAGTTCTCGTAGATAGCCCCTCCAAATATTTTTCAATATTTTAGATTTGGCTGCTATAAATGCTTGGATCCTACAAAGAAGCGACAGGAATACAAATACTACGAAAACAGTTCTTGTTTCAATTAGCAGAAAAGCTTTCCACCAATTACAGAGCTGCAAGACAGAAAAATTCATCAGAACATGAAGACTCAGAAAGATCAACTGCAATATCATCAAATACAACATATTCTAATAACGAAAAATTTGTCAACTACGACTTTGCCACGATAACAAAACAAATAATATATGTAAAAAATGTCAAAAGTATGTTTGCGGAAAATGTATACATAAAAAGATTTCCACTTTCATTTGCTTAAAATGTAAAAATAATGAATAAATTATTTTTTTTCCAAGTGAAGTTATTTTTTTTATTGTTAATACTTATTAATAACTTGTTGTATGACTGTAAATAATATTAAAAATAAAATTAAAAAAAATTTCTTTACACATTATTCTTTCACAATGCAGTCTTTTTTACTGCTTTCGTGCAATATAGGTATATACTAAGTTTCAGTCTTTCTAATGTTAACTAGTTTTAGATTTACTCTCTTTCTAGTATAAAATCCCAAGCACAAATACGTCATCAAATAAAATCTAAATTTTTCTTATATAATTTTATTAAGAGCTCATATTTAAAAAAAAAAAATTACGATTGTGACTTTTATGAACTTGCGAGAATAAAACTTTGTTTTCGTGGATTTCGACGAATAAACAATATATTAATCATACAATAACTATATATTAATTAGCATTAATGTGTTGTAAAATTGAAGGGTCATTCCACGTCAAATCATACAGGATTTTTCAAAAATGGCACCCACCGTCTCAGATTTTGATGAAAATTTGTACTATTATAGAATTTTTGATGCTGATTTCAAAAATATCAATTATATTTGAAGCGGTTAAGGGGTTTAAAAGTTATAAGCATTTATATTTTTGCCAAAATGGCACATTAGCCGCCATTTTGATTCACACATCGAAGGCTATTATTGACTATAACTCACCTTATATTTTTCATAGAATAATAATTTTTTGTATATTTTGTTCAGAATTAAGTAATCTGTCATTTAAACATTATTTTTTACAAATAATTATCTTACGTGTTAAGTAAATGTGTCTGTTATGCAGTTTTTGGATCAGCGGAGTTGAGTAACTTCAGGAGATTATATCTGGCAACTCGCCCCCTTCAATTTCAAAAATAGTTTAGACAAAGATAGTTGAAAGTGCATACTAACATCTGATATAAAAATTTTGATAGGCCGTTCACACACTTTTTTAAAAAAAATATTTTTCTTATGAATTATTATGCATTAAAAGTTCTGGTAGTTTGATGATTTATAGTCCTTAATTGTAAATGGAATACAATAAAATAATATAAAAAGAATGTGAATGGTAGAAAAATATATAAAATAAAGTAATTATTTATTAAATGAATTTTTTCTTCATTTTTTGGACCCCCCCCCCACAAAAAAGAAAAGAAAAAAATAAGATAGGAAAAAATTTGAAAATTTCACCATTCTTATAAATAAATTATATTCAGAATCATACAGCTATAGTAAATGAGAAGGATCAGAGTCTAAAAAAAAAAAAGTTTTTCTGAAAGAGTAGAGGGCAATATCAAATAATAAAGAGGCATTAAATTTTTTTTAAATTGACCTAAATTTGATCTTTATGGAAGGAGAAAATCACAATTTATGATGTTGAATGATATCAAAGAGAAAGTCATTGTACCCCTTATTTTAATTCAAACATTTTGTTTGATTCTAAAATGTAATTGAAGACCAAATTATGAATATTTATAGTTAATTTAATCCTTTTACTTGTCAGCATGATTGTTATGGTAATAATGATATACTCTGAAAAGATTTCATTTGGAACACTGATAAAGTTCAAAATATTTTTTTTTTATTTATTGTAATTATATTGAAATGAAATGATTTTATATCACCAACTGTCTGATAATTTGTATGCTCTTATTTCATCACTAACATCTGCAGGCTTTTTTTATTCTGTGAGACTTTTATTATAATATAAATTCAATTTTCTTTTATAAAAAAAACAACAACTTCTGAATAGAAAAAAAAAATACTGAAAACTATTGACACACTTTACCCCTACAAACCAAAAAAAAATTTGACTAATCAGAATGTATCTTCTGCCAGAACATTTCCATTTGTTCCAATCAGAATTGAGTGTATGTAAAATTTATTTTCTTTCAAATCAATAGAATTGTATTTCCATTCATTTAGAACAGAATAGAAATAAAATAGAACAGAAACTTTTAAGCATAAGTTTTCTAAAATTTTAAATGTATCAATTTGGTATTTAAATTAAAAAGAGTTTTATTATGGAAACCCAAGTATTGTGTAGTATTGGATTAACTTTGAAAGATTTTAAGTGTAGTTTAAACTCACAGAAGATTTTAGAACTTTCTTCTGAGAATATAGAACTTATTTCATTTAGAAGCAACTTAGATTCTAAGGAAAGTTCAACTATATGCCTCTAACATAAGGAGTATCAGTATGAAATATATCCAAAAAAAATGTTGTGACTTATTTAATTCTCATCCCAATAAAACCAAGTAAGTCTCCCTTCGTCTCATAAGTGTAGATCAGGCCAAAACATATAGAGCTAAATTGGGAATGTCAGCAATTCCTGGCTAGAAATTGTGTTCTTCTTGCAGAAAAAAAGGTGCAGAGCTACCATTGGATGCTGAAAAAGAAACAACTGAATTAAACCTCCACCCTAGCTGTTCGATAAAAGATACAGAATTTTCAGCAGTCGTAGTTGATAAAGAAGAAGAACGTGAAAGTTTGAATGAGAGCTTAACATCAGTAGGAGTTTCTCCATTGAAATTGCACTCAGTTTCTGTTCACCGGAAAGTTTCAGCTGGTAAGCAGAAATTAAGTCAAGCTAAAGTTGCTCTGAGAAAAAAAGTTGCTACTACTCTATGAGTAGAAGAGAAAATCCTCGACAGTAGCTATTCTGATGATGGAGATGAGATATTTAAAAAGAAGGCTGCAGAATTTGATAGATTGATGGAATTGATAAAAGAGAAAATTTCCCTTGTTTCACATAGTGAAAAAATTCAAATGTTGACTCTTGTTCCATTGTCATGGCCAAGAAAGAGAGTTGCAGAATTTTTTAACATCACAGAATATCAAGTACAACAATCCAGAAAACTTTTGAAAGAGAAAGGACTACTATCGGTTCCAAACATAAGAACAGGAAAGAAGCCGCCTCAGGGGACTATACAGGCAGTGCAAGACTTCTATGAAGATGATGAACATTTTCGCCTTATGCCAGGACAAAAAGATAAAATAAGCATGAAAAGGAGTATACATGTTCAAAAAAGGCTTATGTTATGTAATTTACGAGAACTATTGTACATTGGTGTCAAACTCACAATGAAAAAATTGGATTTTCGAAGTTTGCAGAACTACGTCTAAAACATTGTGTCCTAGCTGGTAGTTCCGGAACTCACTCTGTATGTGTGTGCACAATACATCAAAATGTGCAACTACTTATTGCAGCTGCTGAAATTGAAAAACACTACCAAGAGCTTGTGCAAAAACTTGTATGTAGTATAGATAACATAAAATGTATGCTACGCTTATGTCATAGATGTCCCAATATTACTGTTCTTAAAGATTATCTTCCGTCTAAATTTCCAGATTTTGACCCGGAAGATCCAATAACATACAAACAGTGGGTTTCAACAGATAGAATAGATTTGGCAATACATACTGCACAATACAACAGACACATTTACTTAACACGTAAGATAATTATTTGCAAAAAAATATGTTTTAATGACAGATTATTTAATTCTGAACAAAATAAAAAAAAATTATTATTCTATGACATAGATAAGGTGAGTTATAGTCAATAATAGCCTTTGATGTGTGAATCAAAATCGCGGCAAATGTGCCATTTTGGCAAAAATGTAAATGCTTATAACTTTTGAAAGAGAACCGATTCAAATATAATTGATATTTTTGAAATCAGCACAAACAATTCTATAAGTGTACAAATTTTCATCAAAATCTGAGACGGTGGGTGCCATGGCTGGATGAACTGACATGGAATGACCCTGAATGACATTAACATAATGTTTATTACCAAACTTTAGATTTTACAAATTCTAGTCATTTTTAAAATAAATCCTATAAATATATGAAGTTGAAGTTAACATAATTCTATTTTAAAAAAAAAAAATAGTTTCATAAAATGGTTGAAAATGTAAAACCGCTGAAGCACTCAGACGGGCGAGTGGAATGGACAGTCAGTTATTCAGATGCTGTCACCAAAGAAATGGAGACAAAAGTATATGATNAAATTAAAAACAGATGTTAGTATGCACTTTCAACTATCTTTTTCTAAAATATTTTGAAATTGAAGGGGGCGAGTTGCCAGAAATCATCTCCTGAAGTTACTCAACTCCGCTGATCAAAAAACTGCAAGACAGACACATTTACTTAACACGTAAGATAATTATTTGCAAAAAAATATGTTTTAATGACAGATTATTTAATTCTGAACAAAATTAAAAAAAATTATTATTCCACGACATATATAAGGTGAGTTATAGTCAATAGTAGCCTTTGATGTGTGAATCAAAATGGCGGCAAATGTGCCATTTTGGCAAAAATATAAATGATTATAACTTTTAAACCCCTTAACCGATTTAAATATAATTGATAGTTTTGAAATCAGCACAAACAATTCTATAAGTGTACAAATTTTCATCAAAATCTGAGACGGTGGATGCCATGGCTGGATGAACTGACATGGAATGACCCTGAATGACATTAACATAATGTTTATTACCAAACTTTAGATTTTACAAATTCTAGTCATTTTTAAAATAAATCCTATAAATATATGAAGTTGAAGTTAACATAATTCTATTTTAAAAAAAAAAAATAGTTTCATAAAATGGTTGAAAATGTAAAACCGCTGAAGCACTCAGACGGGCGAGTGGAATGGACAGTCAGTTATTCAGATGCTGTCACCAAAGAAATGGAGACAAAAGTATATGATGCAGTTATGGTCTGCAATGGGTAAGTTAATCACTTATTGTTATTATACTTAACAGATTAATCACATTACTTACCAGGTGTTCCAAAAATGTCTGATGTATTATGAAAATCAATAAAAAAGAAAGAACGGAACTTGTTAGAAATGTATGGTTTGCGGTATTATGCTGAAAAAATTAAGGGATTCCTTACCACAAAATTGTACACCTAGTTAAAATTCCCGTCACTAGATGGCGCTGCAGAATAGAAATAACTGTATGGAAATGGTGCAATTAAATACGATTCAGGTGCTGTTTTGTTTTTTTTTCCACTTATTTTTTTAAAAAAATTTTCGTTATCAATGTAAACAAATTAGTATTGCTAATAATACTTAGTTAATTCTGCCATGTAGCGTCACCTGATGACGGCTAAATAAAAAATATTTACATTTTAGTGGGATGATAAACCAAATTTCCTAAACATAATGCCGCAAACCATACATTTTTATCGCGATCCGTTTTTTCTTTATCCATTTTCAAAATCCATTAATCATTTTTTTTTAAAAAAACCGGTATTTACATCCGCTTCATGGGGTTATTTTTTCTTCTGATAAATGCGGGTTTCATGTGACCTTTAATGTCCACTGAGATATGTTGACTTTCGTGGGTCACGTCATTCGGTTATGGAAGATCATCAATTCATCATCCTAATTAATATTCATTAGTTTTAATTTTTTATTGTGTAATTAAAACCTATATCCAATCAATCAATCCTGAATTATGCATGCGTATCAATGTTATACGAGTATATTATTCTCACTCTACACACTTTTCTTCTCTCCGGCAAATTTTGCCTTTCTCTTAACGTTTCAGGAAGCAGTTGATAAAAAACTGTCGAGGGGGGGGGGTCAGATTTGCCAAAACTAAGTACTGGAGAAAAGAGGGAGAGTTAGCAAATCACAATTTTTCTGAATGATGTCGACATCTTGTTTGTTCAGCAAATATTTTTTTTGTCGGAGGTTGTGGCAATACACACACCATACTTTTCGAGCAAATGTCTTGCAGAATTTTTGTTTTCAAACTGAAAAATTTGATAAAGGATCAAAGATGTCAAAAACTTTGAGAATGTCAAAAATAAAAAGCATTTCAAAATAAAATTTCAAAAATTGTTTCTGAAATTCTGATGATCGATTGAAGTACACTGCATCAAGTAGAAGTTATATTGAAACATATAATAGATTATTGAAAATCCACATTTGCTTCAAAATTAAGAAGATGGTTATAAAAATAGACCCTGTTTGGCGCATTCGGAAAAAAGGGCACCCAGTTACAAGACTCGCCTGATGTGAATGAGGGAAACAAAAGAAATTTGTAACAGAAATCGTAACGTTGCCATCGAAAAATACCAGAATTCTTTCAACCCCTTGGAATAAAACTAATCTTGATTTCCAGGAATCTTGTTTGATTTGCCTCTCTAAACATGTCTACTTTTATTATTATTTTCTTAATTTTGAAGCAAGTGAAGTTTTTAAATCATTAAGCCTTTTTCGCTTCAGTTTCTTGGAATTATTCATTTAATACTATGAAACATATTAAATAGGTATGAAATTCGCGAAATATTTTTCAGGAAATACTAATACCAATGCTGGAAATCAATAGCCATATCTTAAAGTAGGATAAATTTAAACCTTTATCGATACTAAAGAAGAAACTGTTTTTGAAAACCAAAACTTTAGACTTGTTTCGATATACTTTAGACTCATAATTTTGTTTTTCCAGACATTATTCTGTTCCATATATCCCAGAGATTCCTGGACTCAGGGAATTCAAAGGAGTTCTAACACACAGCCATGACTATCGAAATCCATCTGACTTCAAAGACATGAAAGTAGTACTACTCNAATCAAACACTCTTTTGGTCCGATGGGGTCAAGCTCCGTCTTGCATGAACCACATCTTGTCGTATCTGGGGGGAAATAGATATCATCTCTTAATCAGCTCACACGATTATATCCGCAAAAGAGTGCTTTCTAATATTGTATTAATATAGCCAAAGCAAAATATATCAATACAATAGTGTGATGAAATACAGAAGATAAAATGTAAAGAAACAATAAAAACAAGACACAAAATGAAATCTATAAGGCAAGTAAAGAATTTATATGTATCATCTAAAATGATAAAGTACAATTAAAGGGAGCTTAAAACTAAACCTAAAAAGAATATATATTTAGGCCCCCGTGTCTTCGAGGGTCTATTGAGCGTTATGCATAAAGAAATAAATATCATTCATACATACATTTATTAACTAAAACGAGAACACAACCATCTGATCTGACGGCCGAGAATGAAAAGTAAAGCTGAAAAAATGAAAAACCAAATTACAACTGCAGTTGTCAACCGAACGTTGCCAACGGTGTTAAATAAACTTAAAGCTTTAAATAAAGTTAGGTGAGGCTAGATCTATAGCTCACCATATATATATAGTGGAACCGCTAAGAAAGATTTTCAAGGGAGTGGAAAAAAATAACTTAATTAAACGGGATAACTTCTTAAACGGTGAAGTTTATAAAACACAAATTAAAAACTGAAAATTTTTTAAATTGTATAACCTATATTGCAGAATCAGCATAATGGAATAAATATTTAATTTTACTATTCATTTAGAAAAAAATTGCTAATAAATAAAATCAAAGTTATCTACCTTATTTTTTATTTTGTACAATGTTATTAATATTTTTATTATCAATGACGAGATTTTTGCGAGAAAATATCGTGTTAAGTAGTTTTTGTTTTTTCTCCCCGACCTTTAAATGAAAATTGTCCAACTGTTGTAAATATTGTAACATTTCTGGGGGCACATTTTCAACGCTGTAAATGAAAGTATCCAAACCTTTTCTGGTATCAGAAAAACTAAAAGCAATATCTTCCTCAGTTTCATTTGTCACGTCACAAATATCCTCAAATGTAAGCACATCACAAGGTAAAATTTCGTCGTCAACCGATACATATTCTTCAAACGATGCAGCGAAATTATTTTGGAGCGACTTCCAATCATTTGTTTCTTCGTCTGACATTCAGCTTCAAAGTCATACTCTTCAGTTGTATGTCCGTCAGAGAATCCAGCTTTTTGAAAACAATCACACATGGTGTTATTAATTCCAATGCTGATACAATAAACTCAATCGCTTCTAAAACATAGCTCTCCTGTATTTTCAAGTCCTTCCAGCACAAGTCGCATTTTATAATGCTGCTTAAATACCTTGATAACTCCATCGGTTGTAAAACAGAAATAGAGTTTGGTGGTAAAAACTGATGTTAGTGTACTTATTTTCTTTGGAATGAGCAGCGCAGTTGTCTACGAAGATTTATGATGTTTCGTTTTTCATTCCGAATCTTACTAACTTTTTCAAAAAAAGCTTCAAAAATTTCAATTGTCATCCAGTATTTTTGATTACTGTCATAATCACAAGGCAGTAACTTATCATTTCGAAAGCATCGAGGTTTTTTCGATTTACCAATAACTAAAATCGGTAATTTTTCTATACCATTCATACTGGCCCCAACTTAAATTGTCAAAGGTTCTTTACTGTTTTTTCCTTCATGACAGCGTTCACCTTTAAAGGCATAAGTTTTATCGGGTAAAATATTGAAAAACAGTCCACATTCATCCATGTTAAAAATGTCCTTTGGTTGATAACCTGAAATAAGTTCTTGTAAATCAACGCTGTTTACAATCTCCTTTAATTGTTTTGTAAACTAATTCAGCTCGTTTTTTCATCCGATCAATCCACCCATTGGAAGGCGTGAAATCAGTGTTCAATTTCTCAGCCATCTCTAATGCTTTTCCTCTAAGAAGAGTCCCGTTGACAGGAATGTTTGCGGATCTTGCTTGTTTAAACCATTTCATAAGTTTTTCTTCAATATCTTCGTATTTTCCTCTTTACGCTTTTTTTTGTTTTCTGGAATGAAAAACAGGAACAAAAAGAGTTTAAAATAATGTCTTTCTTAGCAATAATGCCATTTAACGTTGTAAGGGGAAGGTTTAAACTTTTCGCTATTTGAACCCTTGTTAATTGAGAATAGCTGTCAACAGCTTTTAAAATTCTTACTTTATCTTCAATAGATAGTGCTTTACGTTTAATGCCTTTACAGGACATTTTAAACAAATATCAAGTTTTATTCTATGATATAAAAGATAAAAATTAACCTTCAACTAAAAAAAAATTCCACGAAATGCTGCTAAATGTTTAGATGTATCTTTCGCATCAGTCTTTGAATGGGTGGGGACAGCAGTTGAGTCATCAGGCTTCTGGATTTTCATTTAAGGTGGACACAGTGTCTAAGCTATTCCCCACATTCTTATCAGTTTAATTTTTTATCTAAGGGTTCACATTCCTTTGCTCACACCTGTTCCTGATATTTCACCTTTTTTGTAATGGATGAGCGAGGAAGGTCAGTGGTCTTTGTTAATTTTGCATAGTTCACATACCTGTTTTTTGTGACAGTTAAAACTAGATAAGACATTTTAAATATAAAGTTTAAAAATAATGAAAATTGGAAGGGAGTGAAAACTTCTTAAACTTGGGGAAAAAAACCTTCATATAAAGGTAAATTTAACATTATGGAATTTGTTTTTTGAAAATAACTTCTAAAATAACAGACACTAAGATAACTCTAACGGAAAAACTTTTTAAAGGGGTTCCACTGTATATATACAACTCCAATTCAAAATATTAGAATAATGATAAATAAAGCACATAGTGGTTTGAGATATGCATTTATTTTGGTAAAAATGAATACCTGAGAATTTTGAAGTGTGTTATCACATTCTACATGTTTTGTAGATGAACATAACATAAATAAATTATTATGATATTGCAAAAGTTTTTACAATGAATTTTTTCCAAAAATTCAAAAAATTAGAATAATTTTCACAGTGGTTCAAAAAATTAGAATAACATGAACAAAAATAGCATAATTCATTTAAATGAAATCTGCATGACTAGTTAATACTTAGTGGCATCTTCCCTAGCTTTAATAACGTCACGCAAACGATTTTGCATACGATGCACTACTTTTTTGCAGTCATCTTTGCTGATAGCTGCCCAAACGGATTTAGCGCTTTCTATGAGTTTATTTTTGTCCTTTGGAGCTAAATCCGGAAGGCGTTTCTTCATTAAACCCCATATATTCTCGATGGGGTTCAAATCGGGTGGATTGGCCGGCCAAGGAAGTAATTTGACTTTATTGTTAGTAAGCCAAGTAGTGGTGGCGTTGACGTGTGGCAAGATGCAGAGTCTTGTTGGAAGATAAAGTCATCCTCAAATAGATCTTCCGATAACGGAATCATAAAATGTTCAAGTACCTCCTTGTATACTTCAGAATTTTCCCTTCCTTTCAAAATGCACAGCTTTCCTAAGCCCTCAGCACCCATACACCCCCAAATCATTACAGAAGTGTTAAACTTCACTGAGCGTTACAAGCAATCTGTGGTAAAAGCTTCTTGCTTGCAACGCCAAACACGGACACCCTGATGACCGTGGGAAACGCAAAACATCGATTAATCGCTTGAAAGTACGTTATTCCAGTCCTGAATACCCCATTACAATCTGTCTTTGCACCACCTCACACTGGCTCGTTTTTGCTTGCGTGTAAGTAGCGGTTTTTTCTTGGGCACACGTGATTGAAAATCAAGTTCATGGAGACGTCGTAGTTTGGTAGATGTTGAGGCATCCACTCCTTGTTCTCTCCACTTTCTACTTAGAATCTCAAGCTCTTGAAGCGATTTTTAGTGACGACACGTTTCAGCATTCTGTCTTGTCTCAGTGTGGTAATTCGTTTACGACCACTATTTGAGCTATTATTTTTAAAACTTTGATTTGTAGAATAATCTTTTAAAATTTTACTTTTTTGGCAATCATTTGTTGACTAATTCCCTCATTGCGTAGAGTCACAATCGCTGTCTTGGTAGTGTCCGGTATGTCTTTCGTTCGACCCATTTTAACTCCCAACTAACTAAATTTGATTTTCAAACGAGCCTTTATACGCGTACTAGCTCTACAGTGGCGCAACTTATGCAAATTTTATGATTAACGTTGACCAATCACACAATTTTACAGATATTCTAATATTTTGAATCGCCTCTGGAAATATTTTAATATTTTGAAAAATTTCAATATTTTTTTATAAAATCTCTAATACTTCTTTAGGCGCATGTGAACAATAATATCATACGTCAACTAATTGTGGACGGTTAATAATTTTTCCGTTCGCCACCATTGTTTATTTTGAAAGTTATCACGCATTTTATAAGGTAATACAATGTCTTTTTTGGTTATTCTAATATTTTGAATTGGAGTTGTATCTATAGCACAATAAAGACGAAAAGGATGAAAAGAAAAGATAAGAAATTAATAGGTCTTATTAACTGCGCGTAAGCTGCAAGTATACAGAACTCATGAAATAAATTAAAATATTCAGAAAATGTCGAAAATAATAAAGTTTAATGACAAGAGAAGGAAAAAAATTATGAAAAATGCAGAAAATAAAAGAAAAGATATAATCTCTTCATCAGCTCACACGATTATATCTGCAAAAAGGAGTGCTTTCTAATATTGTCAAAGCAAAATATAATAGTGGGAAGAGCACTCAAAAAAATTGAAACGAAAATTTCGTTTATATTTTTCTGGGTGCTCCGAGAAAAGAGAACGGACTTATAAAATAACTTCCGAAAATGATTTTAAAATATTTTGGTACACTGCCAGATTACACAATACGAAATTAAAGCATTAACAGAGAGTAGGGGGATATATTTTTTAGGCGCGTTCATACTGAAGTAAAGATTTGCATTTGATTTGTCTGTTACCTGGGAATAGCCCGAAAACTGGATTTGCACAACGTATTCTCCTTAAAAATATTCTACTACCCTTTGTTTACGAGAAAATTTTTATTCATTTTTGCAAGATATTCGTAAGTATGTTCCTATTTACGTGTATTTTTCTTGAATTTCTTGTGACTTTTACTTGAGAAAACTTTATAATGAAACTTTATAAATAAAATTAATTTTTCTTTGAAATTTTAATCTTGTATTCTTAATTGCTTCATACAGGGTGATAATTATTGAACTATATGAAATAAAACATAAATTAATTGAAAGCTACTGAGTGTACAAACTTCATTCAACTAGCAAACGTCACTACAAATATTCGGATTTAGATTATGACATATTCGATGGCCTGCCATCATTGGCTAGGATGTGGCGCAAACGAATTACAAACCCGCTGAGGTGTCGAAACATCGAAAACCTCCTGAAGGGCAACTTTCAGGTCAGCAATGGTTTATGGGGTTATTTCTATAAACAATGTCTTTAAAATATAGCCACACGAAAATGAGTCACATGTGATCAGATCCGGAGAATATGGTAGCCTAGTAAGTAACTCAGAGTGCTGTCTTTAAAGTGCTCTTCCTCCAGGTCCGATGGGGTTGAGTTCCGTCTTGCATGAACCACATCTTGTCGTAATCAGAGGCACATTGATTAATGAGGATGAAATCATTTTCCAAAACCTGCAGGTACCTTTCAGTGGTCGCCGTGCCGTCTACGAATATCACACCGATGATTCCGTGACTGGACACTGCGCATCACTCAGTTAAGTTACACGTTGAATGTCAGACCTCTCGATCGCGAAATGCGGATTCTTAGTCCTCCAACTGCGCCAATTTGTCTTATTGACAAGCCATCCAAATAAAAGAAGGCTTCGTTGCTAAACCAAACCATATTCACATCAAATTACTGTTAATCAATTCTCTCAAGAATAGTGTTGGTGAAAAACAACCACAGTTCCACAGCCATCGGGTTTAATGGCTGTTAGATTTCAATTTTATATTGGAAGAGATGCAGGTCTTTAACTAACAACAATTTGTCATAGCGACTCCCGGTTAATTGTCACCTATTGTGATGATGGATTTCTTTGGGCTAGTTTGAAACATAACATGTGTTTTCAGGCGTATTCACACTTGTTTGTCGACCGACGCAATCACAGACACTACCAGTTCTCTCAAACCAGCGAATTAAATTCTTGCTTTTTTAGCACACTTAGACTGGTGTGCTATGTTGAAACTTATTCTTCATTTGAAAGCTAAAAGCTTGATTACACAGTACTATAGTTTTTCAAAAACAAAAATACATTCTATCTAACACTTTATTAAAATTGCAGAAAAATTTGCACGATATTATCTTTCTGATTATCAATATTACAGTTCAACGGTAAACCGATTATATAAGAGTGTAAAATACTATTTATTACATTATGTAAATATACAATTTTCGTTACATAGTTCAATCATCGATTGTAAAATGTTCATATTCTTACTATTTTTAAGGTTATTCTGAGCCACAATGATTCATTTAAGACGAGTCCCCTTCCTGAAAATCTGAAACAAGAAAAAGGAATTGAATCTGTTGATGAGACATCCGTCACTTTCGTTGGTGGAAAAAGATACAAATGTGATGCTATCATCTTATGCACTGGTTACTTATATCAATATCCATTCCTCGACCCTTCGTGCAATGTTCACATCGATGATCAAAGAGTTACTCCTCTCTACCTCCATACATTTCACATCGATTTTCCCACTCTATCGATACTGGCCGTGACAAAAATGATTCTGCCTTTTCCAATCTATGACAATCAGGTAAAAGTTATTCTAAAAGTTCTGAAAGGGGAAATCAAACTTCCCAATCGAGAAATGATGAGGGCTGAGGAACAGGAGGACTACAGAAAAAGATTGGAAAGCGGGTTTAAACCAAGGCATGCCCATATTCTACCTGGGCAATGGCAGTGGGACTTTGATGACGTCATTTGTAAGGTTGGCCAAATAGAACCTATATCGAATGTTGTACGAAACTTGTTTAATTATGTTGTTCAGGATTTAAAACATAAAGATTTGGTAAACTATAAAAATACGAACTTTCAAGTGCTGGATGGCAAAACATTCGTTCAACTAAAATGAAATTTTTCGAAATAGACTTTTGTATAAATACACAAAGCTCAGAATATAAATGGTATCTTTATTTTAGTTCCATCTCTTATTTATTTATAGTTTTTTTAAGAATGGATCTCTTCGATTATGGCTACCATCTCGAGATTTTAAGAAAATTAGAATTAAATGGAATCAATAGTATGATTGATTTGGGTGTTGCTCTAAACCTTTTATAAGTTGACGAAAAAAACTTGCAACGGAAAATTTTCATGCTATATATGGACCAAGCAATAAATCCACTCTAAACGGTGGTTCACTGTATCCAAAATCTATGGAAAAATATTTTTCACCCTATTGCAGTGCTGTTTTTAGAAATAGTAATTGCAATTAAACATAATTTGCTGTATAAGAAGTTAAATAACTAAAATAGTCCCTTCACAACATTGTTTCCTTATAGCGAATTTGTTTCGAAAATCTTAGCAAAATTTTTTATCGTAATGTTGAATAACACTTAAAATATTTTCCATATAACGAAGTGATTGTCTCCTCATAATCTATTCTTTTTAGACATTTATCTTAGCAATTTTCGTCATTCTTGGAATTGTTTAGATGTTTATCTTTTTTATTTTCGTCATTTTTTAAGAAAGTTGCAGTTAAAAATTTCAGTGCAACAGATTCGCTTTTCCATATGCTTGTTATCAGAACAACTCGGATTATTCATTCGCTATCAGCGAAATGACTTATTTTAAACTCACTTCTTTATGAAGTGTTTCTTCATTTTTAATTATAATTCATAACACTTTGGAACTTATATCACACCGGCCAAACATTTTGTAACATTTATTTAAATATCAGCAAAAATAAAATTTGAGCCCACTATTAAACAAACTACCTATTTCTTAAGCTTAAGTGTTTGAAATAATATTACTTAAATAATAGTTCGAATGAGACCACTAAAAACGTACACTACAGCCGAGTATTCACTATATCCGGAGTTTATTATAGCGAGGTTAATGTTGGACTGCATTATGTTAAGTATTTAATTTCACTGATNTCCCATGGCCTGACCTATTTTAATAGATATTACTATGCAAAACTTATTAAGCTGAAATTCTTATGAATGATATTTTGTAACTCGAGCTCTGCAAATATATATATAAAATAAAAGCCTTTTATTTAATTCTGATCCAACTCAAGTATTCTATTCATCACCTTCTGTTTTCAACATCAATTCTTCAACTTGTCAATACCCTACACCCTCCAACCACATTGGAAATAATTCCTTCTTCATAAAATTGGTACCCAGATCACAAATAATATCACCATAGATACAATAAAATATTATTAAAGGTTAATCTAAATCGTTCTGCGACGTATGGGGAAAAAATTATAAAGGCTTTTGTAATAAATAGGTTAACAATGAGCGAAAAAGAAAAACGAAACACCTTGAACAACTTTTGATCTAATGATCAGATTTTTCAGGTGCCATGAGTTAACATTAATGTTTCAGGGTAAGGTAACTTCATATATACTAATTAATTAGTGCAGACGACATTTTAAATTACGAAATCAGACACAAAAACATACTTTTTCTGAAAAATTATACATTCTTTTTAGTAGATTTAGGTTCCTTACCCCGAAAATATGAGGAGTAGCAGCAATCTGGAAAATATGGTCCCAATTGTTTGGTCAGGATAATTATCAAAAATTAAGACACCGTAATGTTAATTATACTTTTTGTATATCTCGCCAAATTCCGAGAATTTTTCAAGCGAATTTAAATATTTTTACACACAGTTATAAAATGTTTTAAATTGTAAGGTATGAAAATTCTTATATTAAAAATTTGTAATTTTATATAATAAAATGCAAAGTTTGAACCAAATTGGTCGAATAGTTTCAGTAAAATCGAATTTTATATTGATGTAAAAATTTGTATACCACACAATTCAAAAAATTTTAACTCTTTTTAAATAAAAACAAAATATTAAGGGTTTTTTTTTCACAAAAAAAATTATCTTTGGATAAATGATTATTCTAAAATATTATTTATCTGATTCTTATGAGCCGAAACGACTTCATGAATTATTTATTATGTGTATAATTATATTTCCCATGCATATATTATTTTTGTAATGTAACTAATATTCAGTGGCAACACATAGTTTATCTGAGTGCTTCGGCAACAGTATTGGTTTGTTGTCGTTTAGCTTGATAGATCAGCGAATGTATCGCTGTATGTAGTATGTAATTCCTTTATTTTCCCTTGATTAATATATTATTTAACCAAGATGTATCATTTGTGCAGCTTAATTTATCCACTAAATCATAAATAACAGCAGGTTATGGGCACCAGAGCGTTCATTGCGCCAAGATAATGTGCAAAGTGGATATGAAAATCTAACGGCAATCCATAGGCCTAACTAGATCGGAACACGTGAATCATTTTTTTTTCGATACTCCAGGACTGTGTATTATATTCTAAAAATGGAACAGGGTAAGATCCCAGTTAAGCCATTATAGGACAAAAATGACTGGCTCATGTGGAAATACAGAATAAAATTCGTACTGAATCATTATACAGATGCCTTGGATGTCGTAGAAGGAAGATTGGAGAAACCTGAAGAACCGAATGTGATTCTGAAGCTATCAAGGGAAAATATAAGAAAGACTTGAAAGATTTTAAGAAAGCAAAGAACAGTGCTATGATGGTTCTAACTAACTCCATGACTGAAGATACTTTACAAAAAGAGATGTTTGGCTCGAATTGCACCAGATTTTTGAAGATTCATCGGACAATCAATTACACAATATATGTTTACAGTTCTTCAAGTTCAGCTGGTGTGAAGGTGACATGTCAGATCATCTATCTAAATTAAAAAATTTGTAGAACGATTTAAATAGTGGACTTGAGAATAAAAAGGAAAATAGACTTCCAGAAATGTTAATTTGTAAGATATTAGATACACTTCCTCTGAATTATCGCCCTTTCAAGTCAAGTTGGTTACTATTAAGTGATGGAAAACGAACATTAAATGAATTAACAACACAACTATGCACACATGAAAGAGAATTAAAGAAAGATCCAAGATTTACAGAGATTAAGGATCAAGAAGCTCTAGCAGCCAGCTCGGATCTAAAGTACAAGTAATTTTCCAGCAAGAAAAGTAAGTGCAATTATTGTCATCAAAGAAGGCATTGGGTAAAATCATGCAAGAAATGGATAGCAGATGGAAGACCTGTCAAACCAAGACATTCAAATATCAGTAAAGGTAATAATAACAATGCTGTAAACATGACACTTTTGGCTGTAGATGATGAAGTATTTTCTGCTGAAACAAGTACTGAAGACTGGTTCATTGATAATAGAGCTTCAAGACATGTAACAAATAACAAGTGCTGTTTTATTGTTTTTCAAAACTTTGAAATTCCTCATAGCATTACAGTAGCAAATGGAAAAAGTTTACCAGCCACTGGTAAAGGAACCATTAAAATAATGACAACTGTGAATGTGAAGAATCAAATCAAAAACTTAGAAAATGTTTGGTATGTACCAGAAATTAGCAAAAACTTATTTTCTGTTCTTGCAACTCAAGATAGAAACCAGAACAGAGTATTTGAATCTACATTCAAAGATTGTTATTTAAAGATTAATGGTGAAGTAGTGCTACATGGTGTACGAAATGTTGGAGGTCTCTTCAAGGCAGTTATGAAAAGTTTAGTTCCAAAAACCCAAGTTGATGTGAACATGACTGTAAGTGATGATTTAATTCTTCAACTTTATCATGAAAGATTTGGCCATCACGATAAACAACATATAAAATCAATCATTGAAAGAGAATTAAATGTCAAAGTCAAGGCTGATACAAAACTATGTGAAGCTTATGTCTATGGAAAAGCTCATCGCTTAAAATTTGGCACGAGGAAGAAACCTACAAAAACAGGAGAATTTATCTCAACAAACATATGTGATCCATTTGATGAATCATTCCGAAAATGTAGATACTTTGCGACTTTAAGGATGACTACACTAAATTTAGGTATGCTTTTTTCTTGAAGCAAAAGTCAGAAATAAAAGATGTTCTTGAAGATTTTATAATACATGCTAAAAATCTAGGCCATGACATTAAAAAAATAATCAGTGATAATTGGGGGGGGGGGTTTGATAGTGCAGCAGTCAGGAAAATATTGAAGAAATATGGGATAACTCAAAGATTATCAGCTCCATATACACCTCAACAAAATGGCAGTGCTGCAACAAGATAAATAATTGCATCAACGTAACAAAAAAATATTTATCAAAAGTCTAGAAACCAATTTTCTGCAAATGATATCCAGAATTTGAAAGTAAATATAATAATATTCGCTCACTAGGTCAATGAAATTATAAAGTGAAAGTCAGAAACTCAAAACAGGACCGTCGCAAGAGAGAAATGGAAGTATGCTAAGGTCCAGCTCGGGGCCCCGGGTGCGCCGTACCCGTCACATAAGAGTGTGCCCCTGGAGGGGAAAAAGAATTCGAAACTGAATATAATTCCGTTGAAGAATACAGAGAAAAAGCTTTAAGAATTCAATTAAAAGCTAAACGTTTCGTAGATAATTTCAAAAAGAACTCGTGTGAAAACGAAATTGTTACTTCCGAAAATAACGGCGAATTACCGAACAATAAATCTCCGAAAGCTTTATGTCAACGGCTCCCCGAAGTTGAATTATATAAATTCAGCGGAGACTTTAAAGATTGGTTAACGTTTTGGAACCAATTTAGAAATATTCATGAAAATGTTAATTTAACGAACGCTGATGAATTTCACTATTTAATTCAGTCGAAAAAGCTGAAATCGGAAGATAGGGAAATTGTGGAAGTACAAGCGGAATAAAAAATAAAATTCAGTAGAATTGGGTACTTGCACTCCAAGAAGAAGAAGACAACCAATACCCATGCATGTGATCTATCACGTCAGCACCAGCTAATCTTTATCAGCAATATGGAGTATTAAAGTTGAGCTAAGTCTCTCTACATAACTTAAAATAGTAATTAACGTTGAGATAATTAAATAGAGAGCCGGATAGCAAATCAAATTTGTTGAAATATAATTCTTTCTAGTCTACTTCTTTTACTTAACTTTAATTTATTATTTGTTCATGTATTTAATTGTAACTGTTATATATTTTTGTTTTGTGTACCTGGCAACTTCGATGCATAATAAGTTTGTTTGTTGTCTACATGGCTTCGTGCCTGTCTTTGTGTTATTATAAAGTGGTAGAATTGAAATATTTGTGAAAGATTATAGGCTGCGTTACTTAAGAGAATTGGTACTTGACAGGCTTTGCTTCCTCGAAGTAGAATAAAAAGAACAGCTGCTAGCGTAAACAAAAGCCACGTTTCAATAACCAATCAGGATCCAGATACCCACACTACGTCACTTGCAGGTATCCCATTAAAATATTTAATCCCCCCTTTAAACGAAAGAACTTGATGGCCCTGGCGAGTCAAAATTTGAGAGATCGGAAATCGTCTGCGGCTGAATTAATTAGTCATAATTCAAATGATGACATTCTTTGTTTATTTTGCTTTAAAAACCACGAGACTCGTTTTTGAAAGAAAGCGTTTTATATGCCTTTAGAAGAGAAACAGTCTGTTATTAAAAGGAAGAGTTTATGTAAAATTTGTTTATTGAAAGAGCACCTGGCTTTTTCTTGTAAATCAAGCATTAAATGTCCCATTTGCTCAAGAAAACATTTAAAATTTATGTGTCCTGACTTAAAATGTAATCGATCAGATTGAAATAAAACAAGATAATAATGAAAGCAAAGAAAAAGAGACTGGCACCTTACATTCGCACGTGCATGCAACGAAAGAAGTACTTATACAGACTCTTGTAGTAACTATTAAGGGAAATAAAGCTCAGCGTAAATCTAGAATTATTTTAGATCAAGTCTCATATTATGAAATCTACTGAGGAAGAGTTAGGTTTTGATTTTCTAAGGAAAGAAGGATTTTCGACCTCATTATTTGGGGGTAAGAAAATAGAAATTTAACGGCACAAATGTTATAAAATATATCTCGATAGCCTTGATGGTAAATATAGTTGTAATTTAGATGCATTGGATCAAGAAATAACTTGTAATAATATTTCTAGCATTAGACAAGGGCCATGGATTCATGAATTGAGACAAAAAAATATTTATAACTGATTGTGGGAATTCAGGCCCTATTGAAGTTCTTTTAGGGGCTGATGTTGTTGGTAAATTATTTACGGGTAAACAAGAACAATTAAAATCTGGATTTGTCGCCTTGGACACTAAATTAGGATGGACATTAATAGGGAAGGTACCTCAGTTTAGAAAATCATGATAATTTAAATATGACAGTTGTAAATATGCCTTCACAAGAATTACCTGTTTCATTTTTATGGGATTTAGAATTACTTGGTATTAGAGACCCTATTGAACAAATCGCTAGAGAAGATACACAAAAAGCAGTTGTGATTCATTTTCGAGACGCAGTTTATCAAACTTCAAATGGAAGATACGAAGTAAGCTTACCATGGAAAAGGGATCATGCTTTATTACCGAATAACTATGATTAGTATCTCAAAAGATTAGAATCTACTTACAAGAAAGAAGTGGTTGAGAAAGTTCCACAAGAATTGTCAATTAAAGATACGCATTACCTCCCACATCGCCCAATTATTAAGGAAAAGTCAATGACAACTTCTTTGAAAATCAGACCCGTCTTTGACGCTTCAGCCAAGAATCCGAACTTCCCATCACTAAATGATTGTTTAGAGACTGGAGTAAATTTTATTGAGACAATACCATCCATTTTAGATATTTCGATTGCATGAAATTGGTGTGATTTCTGAGATTAGAAGAGCATTTCTGCAAATTTCTCTGAATGAAAGAGATAGGAATTACTTACAATTTCTTTTGATTAAGGAAAAAAAATGAACTGAAGACTTATAGACATCGCCGAGTTGTTTTCGGTCTAACCAGTAGTCCTTTTTTTTATTGATGGCTGTCATTCATCATCATCTGTCCAAAGAGACATTCAAAATACAATATTCTGAAGAACAGTTAGAAAAACACCGAAACAGTTTTTATGTAGACAATTGTGTAACGAGTGTACAAGATTTAACCGAATTAGAAACTTTTATAAAGTCACCTACAGAAATTATGAAAGAAGGCCAATTTGACCTAAGAATTTGGGAAAACAACCAACTATTAGATTGCCCGTCTGCAGCTACTGAAGCGCAAGTCTTAGGCCACGTATGGGATAAAGACTTAGACTCATTAAAAATTGATTCTGACTCACTGAAACTGGAAGAATCCGAAAAATTATCTAAGAGAAATTTTTTTTCACTGAAAAGCCGAATATTTGATCCGATTGGATTTCTTGCTCCAGTTTTAATAAGCTTTTACTTCAAGCAACCTGGAAGACTAAAGATCATTGGGATTCGGAAGTTAATGAAGAAATCAAGGAAAAATTCAATTCATGGTTCAAAGACTTACATTACTTAAATGATATTAAGATCCCAAGATGGTTGGGCGTTACTGACTTACTATCTAAACTCAGCTTCCATACATTTGTTGATGCAAGCAAAACAGCTTATTCAGCCTGTATATTCCTAAGAAATGTATCCCCTTATGGCTCTGTAAATGTCCAGCTACTCCAAGCTAAGTCAAGAATAACTCCACTGAAAAAAATAACGATCCCTCGTCTTGAATTGAGGGGAGCAACGATTGGAGCTAGACTGTTTAATTCTATGGACTCTGCTTTAAAACTCTAAAAAGGAAACATTGATACCTACTTTTGGACAGATTCGTCGACTGTGTTAACGTGGATTAAGAGGAAAGAACAGTGGTCAGTGTTCGTGAACAATAGAATATCTGAAATAAATAGACTGACATCACCTGAGAATTGGTATCATATACCAGGAAGCCATAACCCGAACGATCTTCTCTCTCTCTCTCTCTCTCGAGAGAGAGAGAGAGAGAGAGAGAGAGTATGGAGCTAAACAACTTCTGAAGTCCATCTGAAGAACTCAAAGGATGATTGGCCGATGACAGTAGCTAATATTAATGAAGAGGAAGTTGAAAAAGAAAAACGAAAGACTGTTGTTTCGGCTATCAATATAGACTCGGAATCCATTGTAACTACTTTAGCATCCAGAATTTCGAAGTTTTCTAAGATAATCAGAGTTGTAGCATGGTTGTTACGCTTCCAACCAAAAGCTAAAGATTTAAGAAAGAATGTTGATTTAACGCAAGAAGAAATAAGAAATGCACAAAAGACTCTTCTGCGGTCAGTACAAAAAGAGTGCTTCAATGACGAAGAAGGTAAAAAATCTTTGAAAAACTTTCAAGTGTTTTCAGATCATGAGGAGATACTTCGATTAAAGTCTAGACTTTTGAATGAAGATGAAACCCCTGAATTCATTGCGCCTTTGATTCTTCCGTCAAAGCATCTTGTTGTCACCCGACTTATTGAACAAGAACACCTGTTGAATAAACATGCAGGAACGTCCATTCTTCTAACAATCCTGAGAGAGAGATTTTGGATTATAAAAGGTAGAAGAACTGTTCGCTCCGTTATTGGAGGATGTGTCACCTGCAAGAGACAAAAGGTTAAAAATCTTGAAGTACCATTTCCACCTCTGCCTCCTGATCGAACTAGATTATCGGCTGTATTCGAAGTGTCCGGTGTCGATCTGGCCGGACCTTTGATGACCAAGACTAATGAGAAGGTTTGGATCGTCCTTTTCTCCTGTGCTGTGTATAGAACTGTTCACTTAGAGCTGATGCCTTCTCTTAGCACAAACGCTTTTGTTCAAGCATTACGGCGATTTATTGCCAGAAGAAGTAGAGTATCTACACTATATCCAGACAATGGTACCAATTTCACTGGCCTCAACGCCTCCTTGAAGCGCCTTGATTGGACCAAAATCATGAAAGAATTTGAAGTTACACAAATCCAATGGAAATTTAATCCACCCTCCTCCGCCCCATGGTGGGGAGGATTCTGGGAAAGATTAATCGGAATTCTCAAAGATCTCTTAAGAAAAAACTTGGGACGGTGATCTCTGACCCATGTGGAACTGTCAACTCTTGTTTGTGAATGTGAATCGACCATGAACAATAGACCTTTGACTTATGTGTCTGAAGAATCAGATTTGAGAGCTTTAACACCATCTTCATTCCTTCATGACCTCCCTACGAACGACGTAGCCGACTTAGACAAAATTGACAAAACTAGTTTAGGCAATAGATACAGATATGTTCAAAGATTGAGAGAAAGACTAAAAGAAAGATTCAGGACCGAATATTTAGGTTTCTTGCCTTCATCTGTTTCCAAGAAACTTGGCCAAATAAATATTGGAGACATCGTCTTGATTGGCAGAGAAGACAGAAAACGAATTTTCTGGCCGTTAGGAAAAGTTATTAAGCTCTTCCCTGGAAGAGATGGACGAGTCAGACTAGTTAAACTGAAAACGAGTAAGGGAACTCTATTAAGACCAATTCAAAGACTGTATCCGTTAGAGATCACCGATAATGCCAGAAATATTGACTGTGAGACTTTAACTTGACTTTATGTTTTGGACATGTAACTTTTTTACATAGTTAACCTTACGTTTTTGAAAAAACATTACCATGTGTTTGATTATTATCTCTTTATCTTTGAATATTTTGAATTAATATTTCTTGTAACATTTATTGATAATTGTTTGTTTAAGATATTTTTAGTATTTTTCAGTAGAATGTTTAGATTTTTGCTAATTTTGCGTCGCAAACTCAATCGGGTAGAATATAGCGCCATCTACGGTAAGAGCTTTATATTTTGAGTGGCATCAGTGTCAGTTGTAAATAGAACAGAGATGAGAGGTAGAAATAACTTGTCTGAACGAAAATGTTATTAGTTGGATGTTTTGTATAATATGTAAATAGATCTTTATTAAATCGTCTGCCAAATGAAACTTCTTGATCTTCTACTTCCTTCAGTCGTCTCATATTTATTTCCGACGGTTCTTGTATCCGACACATGTTTTAAATAAGGTTCTTCAAATAAGTGTTATTCATAATTATAAATGTTCTACTGTGATCTTAATTTGTAAAACGGCTGTGATCTTAATGTTCTGCCACTCAACCAAAACTAATCTAATATGGATAGAAAACCAAAATTTGGAGAAGCGCCCACTTTCAATAATTCACTAGCACCATTATTAAATACGAGTAATCAATTTTCAGATTCGGATGCTTACAATCCAGATGAGACTGTCGAAGAGCAAGGAGATCAGGGGTCAACCCCATTTTCAAAAGACGTAGGCAATTGTAATAGAGGGCAATTCCCACATTATACTCTTAAAGACCCATATAGAAGATTTCGATTCGGATACTTAGTGAATAAGTTAACGAATATAGTTAATAAAAGAAATGACAAAGGTAACTACTAGCGACCTAAAGATCTAAGAGACAGCTTTGAAAGCATAGTAATAGAACTAAATCAAATAGTAAATAATTATTAGCATGTAACTGTAACTGAAGCTTGTAATAAAAGAATCCAAACCAATCTAGTTACGCTAGATGTTAACGATCTAAGACAAATTCTAAAGAATATTGAGTTCTACAGCAAAAGCTAATTCAAAACAACAAACTGATAGAAGACCTTAAAAATAAAGCTACTCAAGAAATCGTATGCTGAGGTAACTAAGCAAGTAGGTAAAAGGACTTTATTATTAATTTATTAATTTGCCTATACCGGCTCAAAAGGACAAACGTGAGTTAATTGATCTCCTGAGCGCACTGCCTACGACAGCCTCAATGGATAAACTACACGTTAACCCCACAATATCATTATTGACTGCAGCACTGAAAACGATAAAAAAAACCATCTAATCCAAGATTTGAACCAAAACGATTTTAAAGTTGTTATACCAAAACAAAGACGGCAGAACATCATTGTCACAAATGTTCCAATACACATAACTAAAGATAATCTATTTGATAAAATACATTGTGAACTAAACACCAATCAGGTTGACTTCCCCATAAAATTATTCAAAATAAACAAACACAGGAGTAACCCAAACTTACAGCATTGGGTAGTTTCAGTAACTAAGATTTCGGCTAATATACGCTGCAAAAAACAACGCTTATTTTTCGGCCTATCCAGATCAAATATTTCTAAATTTAACAACGTTACAAGGTGCAACAATAGCCAACATTTAATCATAAAGAACTACACTGCACTAATAATCCAATTGGTATGCACTGTGCATGTGTTCACCACACTCAAAGCTGTAAGAAAAAGGACACCTGCGTACCTTACACTACGTTAATCTGTGGAACTCACCAAATCAAAGGACTGGATACCCCTAGATATCTTTCATAAAGGTAACGATTACTACTGCCCTACCTATCACCAAGTTAAATACGGTTTATCAGTTATATTGTGCAGCTTTATTGTATATCTAGAGTTTTATTTGTTTTATTGTTATCAGAGTTTTATTGTGCTGAGGCTAACAGTGATCAACAAAATATGCCATTAGAAACAAGCGTTGTTTCAAAATCTGAGATGCACAAAATTTATTTTGATAATTTTTCCTCATCCTATAGTTAATTCAAAATTTTGAAAGAAAAGGGTTTCTCTACATATGTCACAGCTCGCGAAAATCCCATACGCGAATATGCATCGTATTCCTATACGTGATTCCTACATGTGGTATAAAATGGAAAGACAATGCTGTGATAACAATTGTTACTAACAACGGTACTATTTCGCCCCTTGTAAATGCCAAACGATGCAGTCGCTCAGAAAGAAAAGAAGTTGTAATTTCACAACTCAACGTTATTTCGGATTACAATAAGCATATGGGTAGACCTGCTACCTACATGTCCTACATCTAGACCTACATGAAAATGCATAGCTAAATACCGTATCAGAGTCAAGGTAAGAAATGGTGTTGGCCATTATTTACAAACATCATTGATAGCGTTATAGTAAATTCTACTAAACTCAGCGGCGCGAGAGTCCATAGAGGGCCAAGGCCTACTGTGCCCATCTCAGTTTTCTTGACCTTGGGCTCTTGGATGCAGGAGCAGATGTTCCGGTTAGGTGGTCAGCCGAACGCGAAGTGATTAGTTCCCAAGCATGCTTGGGTACTCATTTATCGACCCACTGAAGGGATGAAAGGCTGAGTCAACCTTGCCCAGCCAGAGAATTGAAGCCAGGACCTGTGGCATGGAAGCGCGAAGGGGGGTAATGCCTGCCGCCTCCACGTGGTGCCCCCTGGATACCTAAATGGCAGGCGAACATACATGATGAGTGAACAAAAAGCCTTTGATACGGCATCATCCGTCGCGCCGGTCAACAAGGGATGCGTTCAGGAATTAGGCAGAGGTTCCTGTTCGAAAAGTCTTGTACAGTCTCCAGTAGTATATGGTAAGCCCACGGGTGAACCCAGTGCTAATACCGCTGCTTTGCAGTCTGCTTCGGAAGCTGGTGAAGCGTCCAAAGGTGCAGGCCCTTCCTCTGTAGGAGTCTCTGGTCCACAGAGGCACTCGGGGGACAGTGTGTCTGGTACCATTGGATTGTCCAAGAGCCGGAAAAAGGAGTTAAGGAAAATGAGGGCCATGGCGGCGTGTGGATGAGCTAAGAGACTTAGGTCTTCTGGTGCAACTCCATCTCCCAATGCGCTAACCCCAAAAGAAAAGAAGCCCATGGAGGATGCTGTTCCTGGCAGGAACGCCCAATCCAGCGGAGTGGTTCCCCCCAGAGTGGATAGCCGATTTGGAGAGGGCGATCCAACCGGGGGCCTCCAATTATAAGCCTTTGCATGTGCAACCGAGTCTACCAAGATAGCTATAGTCCTGGAGGACTTTCCTTCTGCCAAGCTTTCTCTGGAAGACTCTAATAACATCTTAAAGGAAAACTTAGAGCGGACTGACGCCATTCCTGGTGGCGAAAGACTGCCTGAAATTTACAGCAACCACCTCCAAAGAGGAGCGCTTACATTACAATGCAATGAGTTTACTGTAGGGTGGATCAAAAGCCACTTCAACAACAAAGCCTTGGGTAACCTCATGCTCAAGGTCATAGGTGCAAACGAGCTACCCAAGCCCGTGAAGTTTGCTTTTAAAACGAAAGAGCAACTCTCCGATCAAAGCACCTTTTTATAGCGTCTTCAGAGACTAAACCCAGGGTTGAAGTCTATGGGGTGGAGGGTTCTGCAAAGTGCTGTGGGACCAGGCACCTCTAGATTGATCTTTGAGGTAGAGCCTGAAGACGCTGATGCAATTGCGAGAGCAAATTTTTGTGCACTAACTGGAGTGGATCGTGGTGTCTTTAAGATTATCCACGATCCTAATAGGAAAAAAGCAGTTGAGGCTCCAGCAACATCGTACCTCTCTGTAAAACCTGATATTCAAGAGGACATGGAACAGGAGAATGAACCTTGGCCGGCCAATTCCCCTGATTCCAAGGTAAGTTCAATTGGGGCTCTTGATTTTTCAGAGCTTGGGTTGGACTCGGGGTCAGGTGTAACATTACAACCTGACTCACCAGCTTCTATGCTTGGTATTGACGAAGCAATAGAGCTGTTAAAGGAAGATTTTTCTTTTAAAGATAACCAGAATAAATAGGAGCCATTCTGGATTCACTCATACTGCTAACCAATGGCTACAATCAAGGTTGGTCAAATTAATCTCCATCATAGCATTGCTGCCTCAAGCCTTATGGCCAAAAGGTTGAATGATGGAGAACTAGATATTGCTCTTATACAAGAGCCTTGGACCGGCAAGGGTAGAATAATGGGTCTCAATGTTAAAGGTTTTAATATCTTTTATGATACCCGTTGTGACCTTCCCAGGACATGCATAGTGGCTAGGTCTAATCTAAATGCCCTTAATCTTGTTAACTTTCTTAACAGGGATTTAGTTGCTGTAAAGCTAAAATTCTATAACAATAAGACAATCTCTGATTTTGTCATAGTTTCAGCCTATCTCCCGTATGAGGAGAAGAATCCATTAGCTGACATTACAAGGGCCCTAATTGCCCACTAGTTCAAGCTGTACATTCATCTTCGGCTGTGATGCAAATGCTCACCACACAGTGTGGGGTAGCAGTAATTGTAACCAGCGGGGGGATGTACTTATGGAACATATCTTACATTTTAATTTGTTTGTCCTTAATAAAGGCAATGAACCTACCTTTGTTAGAAGGGAAGTCATTGACCTTACTTTATGTAACTCTAAATCAGTAGATTACGTTAATGATTGGAAGGTATCTGGGGCCGTCACTGCCTCAGATCACCAACTAATTACTTTCTCTATTAAAGGCCTCTCAGGACTGAAGGTCGTAAGGAGGAACCCCAGAACAGCTGATTGGGGTTCCTTTAGAGCAGCTCTGGAGAGGAAGATTGGGAGCTTCTCTGGTAAGTGCAATAATGTTAATAATGTGAAGTGGACTGTTGACCAAGTGCAACAGATCATACTCGATTCGTATCATATTTCTTGTCAGGTTACGTCTACTAGCTCCCCAAGGCGAGTTCCTTGGTGGTCTTCTGATCTTAGTAAATGACGTATAAAATGTAGGAAGTTAATTTACAGAGCAAAGAAATCTGGAGAATAGCAGTCCTACAGAAACGCTCTAACTGCTTATAACAAGGCGATCGGAGCATCTAAACGTCGCTCGTGGCAAACTTTCTGCGATGGTATTAACACTACTTCTGCCACCGCAAAGATGGCAAAAATTCTTACTAAAGACTTTAATTGCAGTTTACCCCTGAGGGGGTTTACCTTCTTTAGGTAAATACAGGGAGTCACGCCCCGGGGTACCCTAGTGATCTGTCCTCCCTTCCGTTTCTTCTCCCTTTTCTCCTACTTTCTCCTTTCTCTTCCCCCTTGTCGTGGTTGCCGAATTCACTGGTAAGGGCTTTTTGTCTGTGTTCGATTACCACCCTGTTGTATCGAACCCAGATGGGAAGAGACCACCCGCGTGTTTGCCGTGCGTGGAGACCCGTGTCCCTGGAAAACGGGATCCTGGCAGTTGAGGGGCATCTTGGTACCCCAATACACTGCTTTGGCCCGTGCTTCAGGTAAACGGGAGGTGCACATTGGCCTGTGTGCACCAATCGGCTAGTCACAAACGTCATCTGTTGGCTAAGGTCAAGCCCGAGGTCACTTACTGGGCAACTCGTTAAGGGTGGAGGCTGCTTAAGTGGTGACTTTCGGGCGTATAACTATTGGTTAGCATCGGTGTTAAATAGCGGATTTGTGGCAGCACTAATTTGTTATTTGCACCCCCTTAGTTGGACTCCGTGGTGGGTGTTGCGGCTGGTAGCTGAAAGTTGATTTAATTTTCTATGGCTGAAAATGAAATGGTGGTCAGTTCCGCACACCAATACAAAAACAGCGGAACACCTTTAGTACCATTTGAACACGCTCAGTACTTCATGATAGCTTTGACAAATCCCACAGTACCTAATACGTCATTTAGTAAAGTTTCTCCATTTTTGATACATAAGGCTCTTCTTTCTCTTCTAGGAGAAGTAGCCTCAGTTAAAAAATTACGTTCAGGTGACTTGTTAGTTCAAGTCTCATCCGAGAAACAAGCTACTACACTGTCTACTTGTACAAACATATGCTCGTTCTCTGTTAATATTACTCCTCATAGAACTTTAAACACCTCACGAGGCGTTATATCACAGTCTGAATTTATCAATGATACCGAAGAAAATATTGTAGAGGAATTGCGTGACCAACACGTTATTGCTGTTCGAAGAATAAAGATTCGTCGAGATGGTCAACTTATCCCGACAAAACATCTCATTCTTACCTTTGCTACTCCAAACTTACCATCTGCCGTCAAGCTTGCCTGGTATAACTGCCCGGTTAGACCATATGTGCCAAACCCTTTGAGATGCTTCCAATGTCAAAGGTTTGGACATTCAAAGGCATCTTGTCGAAGCAAGCCCATCTGTGCCCGCTGTTCTAGCAGTGACCATGCTGATACAACCTGTGAGTTACCGCCCCATTGCGTCAACTGCAATGGTGACCACGCGGCCTACTCCAGGAATTGTACAAAATGGTCACAGGAAAAGGAAATTCAGTCCGTCAAAGTTTTGCAGAATGTGACTTTCAATGAGGCACGCCGAATAGTAACCGCCCGAACCCCACGTCCAGGCGTGTCCTATTCTGCGGCTATAAAGGTAACCAAATGCTCTGTCAGTACGCAAACGAACCTTCCACCTTTGCCTTCTACATCTCATCAGGTTAAAAATACTGCTCAAAAATCGAAATTTAACTTTAATGCACCATCAAACAGAACAACATCTCCTCCTCCTAAAAAAACTTCTAAAATTGACAACTCAGAAAAAACCTCACCTTTCCCCAAGCAGCTCATATCAACAAAAATACCCCTAAGTAAAAAACCTGGCATATCTCGGAAGAAGAAAGATCCTAAGTACAATCAGTACGTCAACCAATCAACTTCTGGTGCTCCGAAGAAGATGGATCTTGACGTAGAATTGTCCCTTCACCCTTCCGACGATGAATTCATACTTGACTGATCTTTTTACTTGGCGTTAAATTACAAAAATATCAATCCATTCCATAATGTCTATTAATTTTATATCCTGGAATTGTCGTGGCATAAGAAATAAACTTTCAGATATCAAGGATATTATTCATAAATATCAGCCTGCATGTTTCGCTCTGCAGGAAACTCATTTAACGTCATGTCATAATTTTAAATTTCATAATTACTCTTGCACCCGACATGATTTTGATGATGGAAGTCATCCTCATGGCGGCGTTGCAATTTTAACCTGCAATGCATTACCATCTACTCATTATTTATTATCAACTACATTACAAGCAACTGTTGTCCAAATTCACATTAATGTACTCCTCACTGTTTGTTCAATTTATCTACCTCCTAATACACCTGTGTCTCAAACAGAACTAAATTCATTGATTATACAATTACCTTCACCTTTTATTTTGCTCGGGGATTTTAATGGCCATAGTGAATTGTGGGGTAGCTCCGTCTCCAATGATCGAGGACGTAAAATAGAGCAACTTATACAGGACCATAATCTATGTTTGTTAAACCAAGGCGAGGAGACTTACTTTCATATGCCGACCCATACCTTTCACTCCATCGATTTAGCATTATGTTCACCAGCTCTCTTGCCTTTCATAAACTTTTCTGTGAGTAATGATCTTCACAATAGTGATCATTTTCCACTCATAATTTCATATTCTAATAATGTTCCCATGAGTCCTAAACCATCAGTTTTCATACATCATCGCGCTAATTGGCACTTATTTACTCAACTTGCTCAGATTACTGATGCTATGGTAACAGGTAACAACGTAAATGCCGCAGTGAATACAGTAACTTCTGTAATTATAAAGGCTGCAGAAGAGAGTATTCCAAAGTCTTCAACTACTCCTCCTCGTCATCGTAAGCCTTGGTGGAATTCAGAGTGTTCTACCGCTTACAAGGAACAGAAACGACTTTGGAGCCTCTTCCGTCGTTCACCTTCCACATCAAATCTTGTAGCATTTAAAAGAGCTAAAGCGTTTGCTCGTAAAGTCCGACGCCGTAGCCAAAGAGAATCATGGAAACGCTATGTCTCATCTATATCATCAATGACATCTCCCAAACAAGTTTGGTCGAGAGTAAAAAAGGCAAACGGCATATACCGCGAATTTCATTTCCCTATATTAGAAAAGAACGATACAGTCTACTCTGCTCCCATTGATGTATGTAACATGCTAGGTGAGACATTCGCCGCTATCTCTAGTACAGAGAGTTACAGCCCGGTTTTCCAAAACCATAAACTCAACGCTGAACGTCATAATATCAATTTTCACACTCGTCGATCATCTTCATACAATGGCAATTTTACATTTCTGGAACTACAAAAGGCCTTATCAACAGCTGCGAACACAAGCCCTGGTCTCGATGGGATAACTTACCAAATGCTCCGCCATTTGGATATTACGTCTTTGGGTAACGTCCTGGTTCTATTTAATAGACTATGGACGGAACAGACTTATCCATCATGTTGGCGTGAGGCAATTGTCATCCCCATATTGAAACCAGGCAAGGATCCTAAGGACCCGGAAAGCTATCGCCCTATAGCTTTAACAAGCTGTCTGGGAAAGACCTTTGAGCGCATGGTTAATACCCGCTTAGTATATTTCCTAGAAAAGAACCATCATATACCAGAGTTCCAGAGTGGTTTTCGAAAAGGAAGATCTACTACTGATAACCTTATTGCTTTAGAGTCACGAATTCGTAACGCCTTTGTCCGACGTAACCATTTTGTCTCTATCTTCTTTGATATTGAGAAGGCTTACGATCGGACATGGCGATACGGAATTCTTAAGACACTCTACGATATGGGACTTCGGGGTAATTTACCCATCTTCCTGAAGAACTTTCTGATGAAACGGTATTTTAGGGTAAAATTGGGTTCTACGTTTTCAGACCTCTTCGTTCAGGCCGAAGGCGTTCCTCAAGGCAGTGTTTTAAGTGTCATTCTTTTTATTACTCATGTTTCACTCATTTTAAACATACTACCACCTCATGTATTTGGCTCACTTTATGTGGACGATCTAAATGTTTCATGTTCTGGCTCTGATATGCGCGTTATTGAGCGTCAACTTCAGCTGGCCGTCAATAAGATTTCAAAATGGTGTGAACAAAATGGTCACACACTTTCACCCACAAAAAGTTCTTGCATACATTTTTGTCGATTGCGCAGATTACACAATGATCCAGTTATTTCTATTCATAACGTTAATATACCTATTGTGTCGGAGACAAAATATTTAGGCGTAATTCTTGACAGCAAACTCACTTTCCTGCCCCATATTCGTTATCTTAGAAAACGTTGTGAAAAAACTTTAAATGTCCTACGTGTTCTCTCAAACACTTTCTGGGGTGCGGATCGCATCGCCCTAATTAGAATCTACAAAGCGTTGATATTATCACGCATTGATTATGCTTGTGCAGTCTATGGCACTGCAACTGCGTCAAATTTGAAGCTGTTAGATACAGTGCATCATACTGCAATGCGAATCTGTAGCGGCGCATTTCGAACGTCCCCAGTCGAAAGTTTATATAGTATATGTAATTTATCATCTCTCTATTTTCGACGTATGCAGCTCTGTCTTACATTTTACTTTCGTGTTATGTCATCTAAATCTCATCCTCTTCGACAGGAGGTTATTCCATTAAGCTTACGACGATTATATGATGCGCGACCCTCATACACACCTCCTTTTAATGCTCGTATGCGTACAGTTATTCAGACATTCAATTTTTGCGAATCACCATCTCAATCAACCGATCACTTTCTTAACAAACCTTGGATTATTCCATCATATCACTTTTATTCTCCATTTGCTTCATACAAAAAATCCAGTATATCTCCTAGCGTGTATATTCAGCTATTCATCTCTCATCGTCATGAGTATTCTCAGTATGTTTCTGTTTTTACGGATGGGTCAAAATCTCCAGGGCATGTTGGATGTGGAATCATTATAGCTGATCGAACATACAGTTATATCATACCTGCCATATGTTCTGTATTTACTGCTGAAGCTGTGGCCATTCTCATAGCTCTACGACTTATCTCATCACTGACCGCACGAAAGTTTTGCATTTACTCTGACAGCCAAAGTGTTTTACGTCAGCTGAATAATCATGTAAACAACGAAGCTCACCCTATTTTATGTATCATTAAACATCTGTTAGTTAGTCTTCACAAAAGTGGTTTTAACATTTTATTTTGTTGGATTCCCAGCCATGTTGGTATTTCAGGTAATGACATGGCTGACTCTGCTGCCCGATCTGCTGCAACTCCATTAACACTATCAGTCCCAATTTCTGACATGAAGAATTACATACGACAGTTTACTATGTCCTTGTGGCAACAACACTGGGATTTACAAATTGAAAATAAACTGCACACAATTAAATCCTCGCTAGAACCTTGGCCTGTGTTGCAATTGCGCGGAGCAGATGTCAAGCTCACCCGTCTACGTATAGGACATACTCGGCTGACTCATCTTCACTTGCTGTTCGGAGAACCGCCTCCTCGATGCGATACTTGTAACGTTTCACTTTCAATTCATCATATTTTAATCGCTTGCCCATGTTTTAACCAACAACGCCTTACCTTCTTTGGAAGCACGATTTTATATATAAAAGACTTGTTAGATAAAAATCACCATCCTAACATCTTTGCATTTTTACGCGCTATTGGAATTTTAAGTTGTATATAATTGTTTTATACTATTTAGTGTTTTAGTAAATTTACCGTTTTATTGATTTGCATTTGATTAGTAAATTTACCGTTTTATTGACATGCAGTTTTATTGATTTTAATGTATGTAACTTTACAACATTGTTTTAGAATTTTCACTATATCTGATTTTATACGTGTGCTTTACTTAACCTCTTAATCTGTTTTTAAAACCGTGTGTTTGGCGCAGTATGTCCATTTTTGGACCTTGTGCCACTAAACCCCACATTCAATCAATCAATTAATTGCAGTTTAAATGCCATCCGTCTTACAAACGGAAGATACAGTGAATCTGGGGAAGAGGCTCTTGGAGAACTACTTGAAGCACACTTCCCTGGATCTCATCCTGTGAAGAATGAAAATCTACATATTATTACCACAACTACTAGTAGTAGGAATGACTGGGAGGCCGCCAAGATGGTGGTCTCCTATGAGAAGGTTGTATGGACCATAAAGTCGTTTAAGCCCTAGGCACGGATGACATCATACCAATGATGCTTATCCAGGGGGTGAATACACTGGCCTCTATTCTATGTAGGATTTTTCGATCTTGTATAGCATTTGGGTATATACCTCTCTCTTGGAGGAATACCAGGGTGATTTTCATACCAAAACCAGGTAAGGAGAATTACTTTGAGGCTAAATCATTCAAACCAATCAGCCTCACTTCCTGTCTGTTGAAAGCGATCGAAAAGCTAATTGACAGACACTTCAGAGACACTGTGCTCATGGAAAGGCCACTGTCCTCCACACAGCATGCCTATCAACCAGGCAAGTCTGCAGACACCGCTCTGTATGAGCTCTCCTGTGTGAGAAATCTATCACAGATAAGGAGATGGCTCTGGCGGTATTCATTGATATGATGATAAGGTGCGTTTGATAAAGTCCCTCTTGAGACTATCATTAATGCACTTAGGAACAGAGGCATAAACAGAGCATAAAAGTAATTACCAGGTGGATAGTGAATTTTCTATCCTCTAGGTATGTTTGTTCCTCTCTATTGGGTGCAAGCATGAAAGTGCATGCAACCGCAGGATGCCCCCAGGGAGGGGTTCTGTCCCATATCCTAGGGTGTATGGTAATAGACTCCTTGTTAGTTCGGTTAACTGCTCTTGGCATTCCCTGTATCGGGTACGCTGATGACGGTGTTATTGTTATCAAAGGCAAACATGAAAAAACAGTCTTTGATATCATGAATAATGCACTCCTAGAAGTAGCCAGATGGTGCTCTGAATCAGGCTCATCTG